TGTAGCTATGCTTAGGAAGTATGAACCCGACCTTTTTCATGTGCTTGATTGGGTTGACTTGGAGGTAGATGAGGATGCCTCTTACGAAGAGCGACCGGTTCAAATATTAGATACCTGGGAGTAAGTGCTATGAGGCAAAACTATACCGTTGGTAAAGGTGTTGTGGAGACACCATGGGGTTGAAGAAGCGATGTGAGAACAGGAGGCAGAAGTCTGCTCCAAATATCCGGATTTGTTTGAAAATGCTTAAGTTGCTTTTCTTTGTAATATTCCCTAGTGTTGAGGAAAACGTATTTAAAGTTGTTAACCACATGTTGATATGTGCGTTGTTGTTTTAACCATAAGGTTGTTGAGAGTTGCCATTACTTTTTGAAAAATTTCGTGTTTATGTGTATTTGGGAGATTGTTGTTAATGAGATAACCATGCTGGAAATGGTGGAATTTAGTTAAAAGTTAGTATTGTGATTTGAAAATGAAATAGTGTGGTTTTGATAGCTAGAAACCCCTTTGTTTTGGGTAGTTTGATTTGAAATTTCGGGGACGAAATTCTTTAAGAGGGGGAAGGTTGTAGTGATCCTGGTTTTGACCCGTCTCTTTATGGTGTTCCGGGCTCAGGTTGGTATGATTTTGAACGGTGTTACGTATCTTAGTTCCCTATGTTCCCCTTATTTTGGTTATCGGGTTGTAGCAGTGTGTTTGGAACAGGTAATGTCTCATGTTTGTATCGGGTTGTATCGTATCTTTTATGTTTTGCCACTTCGCTAACTATGTCGAGGATCGAGCTGCCTACACAACTCGCGGGGTCGAGGGGGCAGCGCCCCTTGGCAAGTCCGAGGGCAGCACCCTGGTGGGGTCGAGGGGTAGTGCCCCCGAAGCAAAAATATAAAATGCATTCGAAGTTGCTTGTCCGCTCGAGCGGCCGTTTATGCGCTCGAGCAGAGAATGTTTGGATCTAGAAGTTTGACCTGTCTGCAAAAGTACTAGGAAAGTGTATTCAATGCTCGAGCGGGGCTTTCCACGCTCGAGCGGACCATGTTATATCAGTTTGTGAATCTGATATTTCAAATCACTTTTGTATATATCTCTCTCTAAAAATCCTTTCCTCTCCCTTCTCTCTACATTTCCCTACGCCAAATTGGATCAAAACCTTGATTTCTCAAGATCCATTAGAGTTCTGCCATAGGTTCTTCATCAAAGTTGGTTAACCTCTCGAGGGCTTCGTTATGTACGGTGAAGATCGAGTTTCGACACTGTTGATTTTGAGGGTTTCATCTCATTTCTTCTTCAAAACTTGAGGTAGGGATTTTCTTAGAGTTATATATATATATATATATATATATATTTGCAAGATCTATATGATTTTCGAAATCATCTTTTGATAGCTTTGAAAATTGATTATTGATTCAAGAAGTTGAGCGATTTTGAAAGTGAGTTTGTCTCTTGTTCTTTTAAAATGATCTTATGGGTTTTGATCTTTGTTGATTGAAGAAAAGATGATTTTGAAAAGTTTTCTTTCAAAAGATTTGAGTTGTATAGTTTTGGTGAGAAAACTTAGAATTTGGGAATTTTTTTTAAAAGAGACTGAAAATCCATAAATGATATTGTTATATTTATTTTGTGTGTCAAAATAAATGGATGTTTGGAAAATTTCTTATTTATATTTATATAAATGATGAATTTCAGAGAATATGAGAATTGTTGTTCATTTTGGAAATTATTGTTCAAAATGTTGAAATAGTCTTAAAATGACTAATTGTTGAGGATACTTGAGGAGAGAGAATTGTGTTATTTCTTGGATGACGAATTGGAATAAAAGTATTTATATTCATCTTGTGAAATTGGCATATCAATTCATTTGATTACATTAAATTTTGAAAGTTGATTTGAAAACTTGCATTAAGAAAATAATGTTGAGAAACAAGTTTTCATGGAATGGTTTTGGGATAAATACGTTGGTAAGTCTTGATAGGTGGTGTAGATGATATTGAATAAGCTGGCCTGAGAGTCTAGGGTGAAAGAGCGAAAACCTGCGCGGATAGGTGTTGAGCCTTCCGGTTAATATCGGTAAAAATGACAATTTAGTAGTACTTGTATAGTCTACTTGCAGACACCGACCTAGGGATTACCAGAGTCGTATTTACTGCCTTTGAAATAAATTATTAAGTTTTGAACAATTGAAATTGCATGACATCATTGAGCATGATGGTTTTCAAAAGATGAAAATGTGATTTATCTTCAAAAAGGGCATAGCATGTTATGTGCATTTCATCTCTTGAGACTTGTATAAAATGTATATATTTTGTTAAGAATTTTCTACTAGGCTTTATGCTCACCCTACAAGAATTTTGTGCAGGAAAAGATGTGGTGATCCCACCTAACTAGGGGCGTGGAAGTATGTGTGTTGGGAGTACAATACTCTCATTTTGCTGTGACTCTATGTGTAAGCCACTGGCTGTGTTTGTGTGGGTTTGAATAACCGTTTTGTGTAACCAGACTCAAGCCTTAGAAACTTGTAAACCTTTGAGAGTATTTATTTGTTTATTTACTTGTTGTTAGATTAATGTATTGTTGCATGAAGAACTATTGTATCATGTAATGTAAGTTTGGAGATTTATATTCAGTTTTCCTTTAAATAGCCATGATTGTTGTATTATCATTTGAGCTAGAAATTTGGGATGTTACAACTTGGTATCAGAGCTATCGGGTTTGATTTCTTGGAGCTCGTAGGAAGTGGTTGTTTGACCACAATGGGTTCATTTAGCATGCTTAGGAAGTATTATGCATTTTGTGACTATGTGATAACATGCTTATGTGACTAAATGGGTATGTGATTGGACTTTTGAGATGTTGTTTGCGCCTGTTAAATTCCTTAAGGTCTTATTAGAAGGGTACTTGATCAATACTCATTCTATTAAGAATTCTTGGTTTTTCGTGGGACGAATCTCATCATAAGAGCATAATCCGTGTGCGTTTACATGACTAAGTGCTTTTGTGGGGGTAAAATTTAATTGTTATATGGTAGAGGAATATATAGAATTATTGTGAAGGCAAGTTGCGGCATGTTTGGGTTAGTGTGCTAAATTAATTCTATTATAATTTGTAGGATGTCAGGAAGAGGTTAAACCCGTGGTGGTAGAGGCAGGAGGCGTGGTAGGGCTCGCCGAGGTGTGCATGAGGTACCGGCCATGAGGTTCCTGTGCAAGAGGAAGAGTTCGGCCAAGCTAATGTGGCCGAACAAGTGGGGCAGGCGGGAATCCCGGGACAAGTAGGTCAAACTGCAATGGGGGCCCTAGCTCGAGAAATGGCAGGGGCTTTAAGAGAGTCTATGAACTTGTTGAGGGTGGAGAATCAAGCCCGAAAGAACACCACAGAGAATCAAGTTTTAATTTTTTTTTTTAAAGGAAATAAAAATTAATGGGACAGGATTAGGTTGGAAAGATATAAAATATTTTTTATCTTTCCTTTTGAAAACTATAAATTATAGAAGAGCCATGCTTATCTCTAGTTTGAGATTGGACTGGAGCATGCTGTTGGGTCCGTGGAGGCCTACCACGTGTCTTGTTTCAATAATCTGAACCGTCAATGTGTAGAACTCGTTGAGTACTTTATTCTTATAAAAAATCACGTTGACCAAATATCAATAGCTACTTGATCGGATCAGGTTTCTGTCAACAGTAAATATAATTTTCAAAATAAATTATTGACAAAAATTCAATTCAATCAAGTAGCTATTGATATCCGATCAACATGATTTGTTACAAAAATAAATTACTCGATGGGCTTCACATATTGCAAGGTTCAGATTATCGAAACAAGATTTGTAGTGAGCTCCACAGGCCTAACAATACAGTACAGTTCACAAAGTGAACGGGAAACAAGCCTGCCCCATTATAGAGTTATTAATATTTTGAAAATTATTATTTTAATGGATTAATTGATACCACTTTTTAAATTTATTTTTTAATTCAGTAAATTTATAAATTTATTATGAAGTTTTGGAACTCTCACAATGCTTCTCACAAAAATTTCCTTTTATTTATAAGGTAAATTACACTTGATTAAAATATGAATTGCCCCTTGTAGTTTTGAAAATTACATTTTACCATTGAGATTTTTAATTTCATAATAAATCGCCCCTTTTATTAATAAATCATCAAGTCAATTAATAGTTTTTAATAATGCTAAAAATATGTTTCAATTAATAATTTAGGTAATTTATTATTGTATAGGAGAGCAATTATGAATTTCATTTTTGTAATTAATTTTGTTAAATAAAAAATTCTAATAAAGCGGTATTTATAATTTTTTAAATCACAAAAGATAATTTATATTTTAAATAAATCTCAACTGGTGTATTTATAATTTACCCTTACTAATATAATATGTAGATAGATATAAATTAGCTCTACATATCAAATTTTTTTAAGTGACAAGTTTATTTATAAAAAAAAAAAAGAAGAAGAAGAAACGGATGAAGTAAAGAATTAACTATTATTTTAATTGATCTTTTAAATTTTTATAAAAAAATATATAAAAGAAAATAAAAAGAAAAATTAATTGTTTGACCACAATTTCTAAATTTTGGATAAATTACAAATACACTTTTGAGATTTGCTTAAAGTACAGATTATCTTTTGTGGTTTAAAAAATTATAAATATCTCCTTATTAGTATTTTTTATTTAACAGAATTAATTAAAAAAAAATTCATAATTACTCTCTTATACAATAATAAAATTATCTAAATTATTAATTAAAATATATTTATAACATTATTAAAAATTATTAATTGACTTGATACTTCATTAATAAAAGAGGCGTTTATTATAAAATTAAAAACCTTAAAAATGAAATATAATTTTCAAAATTATAAGAACGACTCGTATTTTAATTGAACCTAAAATATATATTTGTAATTTATTCTTAAACTTTTTACCTAATAGTTACCAAAACAATCCTATAAATACCAAATCAGTGATTGTATTATTGTAATCCAAGAAGATATAACAATTGCGCTGCAACTCTCTCTCTCTCTCTCTCTGCCTCTGTTTGGTGCCACGGTGAATAGTAGAAGGGGGAGTTGTTCAAAGCGGCAGAGCACCAGCGCTCTCTTCTCAGTTATCGGTGAACTCGTCACCGGCCGATCTCTTCAGAACTCGTCGATCTCTGCAGATCAGATCTCCTCTCATCTCAGGTATTCCCTCCGATCTCCTCTTCCCGCTTGATTTTGTTTTGCTGTTTTCCCTTCAATATAGAACTTACTTGGGTCCTTTCCTTACTACTGGAAGCAGCGAAAGAAAGGGAAGGGTTCAATATGGAAGTATCAAATCCATCATCATCCTCGGTGTGTCTTTGTGTGAGCACAACCGAAGCTTCTGGTGAAGAAAAAACGCGTTGGTATATAATCAATCTCAATGAAGCAATATCTATCCTTGGGCTCTGTGAGAGAGAAAATGTCAAGAAAATGGAAAAAGAAGCCAAGAGAAGATTCTATCTGTTTAAGAAGATAACTGACATGTTTATTAGTGGAGGGAAAGTAGAGGAGATGGAGGAGTTCTTCTCCACACCGCTCATCCCGGTGTGTGAGACCCCTAATATGGCATTTGGTTGTTTCTGGACTACATTGGGATCGGTTGTATACTGGTTTGGGTCCGAACGAGGTAGTCACAAAGTCAAGTATTGGGACCTTGCAGATATTCAGAAAGGCATGGAGGTAGCTCCTCCCATGATTAGCCGCCGAAGTCGTGGTAAAGCTGTGGCTATTGATGGGAAAATTTATGTCTTTGGAGGCACTAAGCCCTGGGGTGGTTCTAGCACCAACTGTAGTTCAAAGGCGTGGGCGGAAGTGTTTGATGCTTCCAATAATGAATGGAAGCCATTGAAGCAACCTTCCTTCCGTGTGCCCTCTATGTATTTGTTTCTGTTACCCATGCGTAATGAAAAAATCATTATTGTTGGATCACTGCACAAGGGCGGGTTGTATGCTTATCATGTTTGTCAAGATTCGTGGGATGTGGTGGATGAAAAATTTGAGCTCATATCTCCATATTGTGATCCAGTATTGGCTGGTCATACCCTTTATTGGGTTGGAGATGAGATCATTCACGCATATGATCTCAATGAGAAAAATTATTTTTGCGGTCGTATCCATTTTTGGGCATTGAAACAAGTTTTGTTGCTTTTAAGGAATGATCGATGTTTTCCACTACTCTTCTTTCACTTACATGAAGAAATGTTTTGCCTGATATGGGAGGAACTTGAGTATCATGCTGGACGTCACCGTTCTGTGCTTGTTGTTCATCAGTTTTGTGTCTCCAAGCGCATCAAGAGAGGAGTACTCGGTTTGAGTGTGAAGCCGTTGTCTACCGAATATTATCTACCTGATGGAATTATTTTCCAGTCCTTCCATGGCATAGTGCTGTAAGTTCATCATCTCTTTAGCTTCTTCCTTAGCATTTTTTTCCCCATGAACTGCAATTAAATTAATTTGATGCTTGAAAATTTGGAACAACTGGACAAGCTGATTGTTCAAGTTAAGCTTGCCACAACTAGGTAATTTTCTTCCTCTTTCGTTTTTAATCTATTGTTTATGAACATATTGTTGGAAATGGTTATAAAATTCTGGATAAAATCAGAATTTTTTCCTAAAGTTCGGTCTATTTTTTAGGTAGGCCCCGAGTGTCGATTTACTTGGGTCAAAGTGGTAACGCGTTTTATGCCGCGTTGTGATTCACGTGGTATATTTGGTTGCTTAAAACCATTACCGAGTGAATGGGAAATTGAAGCCAAAGTGTGCTCCATGAAAATGGAGTTTTGGTAGAAATTCCTTAAGGTGGTAAATTGGCGTTGTAAATTGGCTTGTCCCACGTTGATTTGGTGGGAGGTTTTGAATGGGTTTATAAGACTTGGGCTTGGTACTTGGGGTGTGCCCCACGGGGTACCCAAGTGTTTTAGAGGGAGAGGTTATGGGCAAAATGGGCTAGACCCATTGGACCCAAAAATCACCACACACACACACGTGCGTGCGCCGCCTCCGCCGTTCGTCCGGTCGGGCGGGCTGGGTTGGGCCTGGGCTTGGGCTTGGGCTTGGGCTTGGGCGCGAGTGTGTGGTGTGAGGTTGGGTTGGGCTTGTTCGGCCCAATACTAATCTTTTTGGGCCAAAAACATTTGAATTTAATTTAATTTTTTGGTAAAATAAAATCCATAATTCAAAATTAAACTGGTTTGGTTTTAACTGTACATCCAAATAGGGCCCTTCCCGAAATAAACCAGTCTGGTATTATTGCACACCCAAACAGGGCCCTTCCCGTTTTGTTATCTGTTTGAAATATAACCCAACAGATTCAAATCTGTTTGAATTCAAAACCAACAGGTTTCATACCTGTTCAATTCAAAACCAATAGCCACCTTTACATCTATAAATAGACTAGCCTCCCATTTGGATTAAACTC